TGCTCTCCTTTTCAGTAAGTAATAAACTCTGAACTTGTTGGCAAGTAGCATATGAGAACTACTTCTAAACAACAAGTGCCATTCCCATGGTAAGTAATAAGCTCTAAACCTATTAGCAGATAGCGTATAAGAACTATCTCTAAATAATAGGCACCGGTTTATAGTTTTTGTCAGTTTTATGTCCTTTTTTTCAAACATATTTTACTATTTTTTGTTGAAATTTTGGTTTTGAAAAGTTGGTCTGAGGGATCATCAGAAAGAGTTGAATATTTTATAAATTTAAATTGTAAATAAAGTGTATTTAAAATAATATTTAGTTATTTTTATAATATATATTTAGTTACTAATATAATATAATTTTATAAAAAAATAGTTTACCAATTATGTATATCATTAAGAGCTATTAAATATTTTAAATTAATATTATCTTGTGTTGATAAAAATTGTGTTTTATTTGTTTCATTATTATCATTATCATTATCATCATCATTATTATCATTATTATTATCTTTTATAAGTTCTTTTAAATCATCTTCACTACTTTCTAATCTTTCTACAAATGAATTTACGTTATCAAAAATTCCTTTTTTATAATATTGTATATAATATTCACATCTATTATGCTTTTTTTTATAACAATCTAAATGATATCCATGTCCACAAATTAAAATAAATTCATTTCCTTCTGTAGTTTCAACAAGATCTTTTTTACAAGCATCATATTGTTTTAATATAGGTGGAAATGATGAATGATATCCAGTAGGAAACCATCTAATATCTATAGTTAGTTGAAGAGCTGATAATATAAATTTCTTCTTATTTTTAGAAAACTGAGTTTTTCCAATATTATTATAAATAAAATAAAAAGTTTCTAATAAAAATATTGATGTTTTTTGAATTAATATATCTAAAGTTGAAGAAGAATATGAATATTTTCGTGTATTTCTAAAAGAATTTATAAAAGAATAATTATGATGATTTAATATATATATTTGTTTTTTTATAGTATCAGTTGAATCTTTTGAAGTTGTATTTGCTCGAATTTTACTATGAACATTTTTAACAAAATAATCATTAAAATTTACAAGATAAGATTCTAATACTTTACTAAATAGATGATTTGTATCATTTCAATAAAAATAATCAGATAAAAATGCCAAAAGTGCTTTGTTATAATTTTTTCTATTCCATCATAAAGCAAATGTCTAAATTCGAAAAATTGTTTCTATATATTCTTCAAATGATCCAGATCTAAAAAGAATAGCATATATATCCAAAGCTGCTGGAATTAAATTATCCAAAAGATCAATAAGCATTCTATATTCTATATCTTTGCATAATTTAGAAAATTTTAAAATAATTAAATTGCTAATTTTTTTCCAACTTTCACTTGCTAATTCTAAAAGAAGATTAATTTTATAAGGTTGAGGAGTTTTAGCTAATTGTTTTTTTTTTAATCCAAAAACAAATTTATATAATTTGTTGAAAAATTCATAATAAACTATTAAAATATGTTGTCTTGTATTTAAAGAAACATGTAAAGGTTCCAAAATTAGAATAAAGTTTTTAATATTTGTTGGAATAGTAATTTGATAATTTGGATCATTTTTTTGAAAATTTAACTCTTTTTGTAATATAGTAATAGCTTTTCGAATATATAATTGTCTTGGCCAATCTGCTACAACTAGTAAAATATTATGTTCTAAATATTTATATAATGATGGTATTTGTATTATCATTGAAAGTGCTTTAATATAACCTGTTGTTGATTTTAATCTATATTCTTCAATATCAACAATCTGTATATTTTCTATTGATCTTTCTTCTTTTTGTTCACAAATTGCATCATTATAAATATGAATTGTAAGAAGCTCTATTCGATCAAAATATTGAAATTTTTAAATATTTTGATTAGTCTAATGAAATTTTTAAGCATTATAACTTATATCAAAAGTTCCATTATATTTTTCAAGCAAATATTTGTTAATTAAACTTGCATTAATATTAAAAGGATTAAAAAATGAAATATTATTAAATATTGCTAGAATTAGTGCACAATTATTAATTCTTTTTGCAACACAAGTAGCCTCAATATTAAAACCATGTATAGTATTTTGCTAAATAAATAAATATATTAAATTAATAAATTAAAATAAAAATAAATTTAAAATTACAGTATTATTAAAATTTACTTACATAAAAAGTAAAATAATTGGAAATTTTTGTTGAATGTTCTTTTGCTATTTTTTTTTATAATCATCAATTGTTTTATAATATGCTAAAATTCCAAGATTTGCTAATATATCTATTGCAGAACTACTACATCCTGATGCTAATAAATAAAGCCCAATTTCTATTTTTAATTTATTTGCAAATTTATTTCGAGCTGCAGCAAGAAGATAACAACTATTTTTTTATCATTTTTTCTAGTTTGATAATCTCTACTCCTTGAACTTATAGCATTAAAAATTTCATCAAAAAATCCCTTAAGTAAAAAATTAGACCTTGTAATTAATTCTGAAAATTTTTTAGGATCTAATTCTATTGGATTATTTGATCTTCTTTGCTCTTTAAAAAGAATTTTTGAAAGTAAATCTAATTTATTTTCAAAATTTAAAGCTAAATATTAATAAAAATATTATTAGTATTAAATAAATAAAATAAATAAATAAAATATAATAGATTAAAAAATTTTACTTGATGTTGAAATATTTAAATCTCTATTTAAATTTTGATTTCTGCTTGAAATATTTCTAATTGATTTGTTCTATTAATTAATTTTATAAAATCATCTTTATTTAAAATAACTTCATCATTTGCAATATCAATTGTAATATTTTTCCATTTATCATTAATAACTTCTAAAAGTGTAAAAATTTCATAAATTTTTTTATTAGTAATAAATTCTACTGATTTTCTTTTATTATTTCTATCAGGCTCTACAATTATTAAATAGTGCATATCATATAAATGATCATTTATTTCTAAATAATCATATTCAGCAAATGCATTTTTTGCAATTGACTTTTCTTTTGCATATACAGTAAACTTATAATAACGAGTAACATTATTATTGTCACAATCTTTAACTTTGCAAGGACCTTTGTTTTGTTCCTGTAGCATTTTAATTTTTTTTTAAAATTATAAATTTAATTAATAAAAATTCAAATTGTAAAATTTTTTTACTTTTATATTTATTTAAATATTTATTTCGCATTTATTTATTCGCTTACACATTTATTTCACATTTATTTATTTGATTACATATTTATTTTACATTTATTTATTTGCTTACATATTTATTTCGCATTTATTTATTCACTTACACATTTATTTATTCACTTACATATTTGTTTATTCGTTTATATATTTATTAATTTGCATATTTATTTATTACCTGAAATATTTATTCTATAAATATATTATTTATTATTTATTATACAATGTTAAAATAAAATTATTCTAAATTCGATACTTAAAATAAAGTTTTAAATTAATCTATATAAAGAACTTTAAAATAAAGATTAAAGATATTGCTAATCGTAATAAATATATAAGATCTAATATTGTTGCACCAAGATCTTATCTGATTCTATAGTATAGTTCATTATCTTTAAACATTGGCTATAATGAGATTGGCGAAGGTGGAAAAGCTTTAGTTAATGCTCTTTGTAAAAATACAACTTTGACTTCTTTAGAAACTTGTTATAATAAGATCGGTAATGAAGGTAGAAAAGCTTTAGCTAACGCTCTTTACAGAAATTATACTTTGACTTCTTTAAATATTAGTTATAATTATATCAGTGTTGAAGGTGGAAAAGCTTTAGCTTATACTCTTTACAGAAATAATACTTTAGCTTCTTTGAATATTTATAGAAATGAAATTGGTTTTGAAGAAGGAAAAGCATTATCTGATATTCTCTGTAAAAACATTACTTTGACTTCTTTAGATATTAGTTATAATAATATCGGTATTGAAGGTGGAAAAGCTTTAGCTTATGCTCTCTGTAAAAATACTACATTGACTTCTTTGGATTTTAGTTTTAATAACATCAGTAATAAAGAAGGAAAAGCTTTAGCAGATACCCTTTGTAAAAATAGTACTTTGACTTCTTTAGATATTAGTTATAATTATATCGATGTTGAAAGTAGAGAAGCTTTAGATTATGCTATTTGCAAAAATAATACTTTGATTTCTTTAAGTTTCCACAGGTTGAATCAATGAATAACGGGTACATATCGAGAGACAAATCTCCCGATATGTACCCATTATTCTACCATAGATCCGCCAAATAACTGTAGCATATCGGTAGCATATTG